CCCCCCCCCCCCCCACTGCAGGATGTGTCACTTCAACCAGATTAAAGAGTGTGAGACCTTTTAACTTTATTTTCTGTGTATATAAAAAAGGGAAGTATTACATGTAGGAATTTAAAAGAAGAAATCAGAATTTGCAATCCAACTGATAATTGGAAATCTGACTTTTAATAAAAATAAATAAATAGAGCTCCCTCTTTCCATTCCCCTGCAGCACAGTAAATTTGCAATAGGAAAAAATTACCAGTGGGCAATTAATCCCAACAGAAGGTTTTACTCTGTCTTGGGTAATGATGCAGTTCGCTGTTAGGTATTATGTGTAAAAGTGGTAGCCTGGGAGCTGCATGTGGCCCTATAAAGGGTTAATAAGCAGCCCCCAGGCTCCCACCAGACTGCCAGGGTCTTCAGGCTTTCCCTCCCTCCTCAAGTTTCCACTTCCTGCACCCACTTCAGGGGCTGGGCCAGTGGGGAGAAGCCCGTAGTGCAGTGGGGGAGCCCATGACTGGCGAGCTGATCGAGGAGTGCCAGCCAGTGTAGTGCGGCAGGGGCTGCCCATGCACGTGGAGTGCAGCGGTGGGGCCTAGGTCACCCACAAAGAGTCCATCCCAGCTCACAGTATTGAGGTCCCTGCTAGCGCGGCCCTCCAGATGCCCTGGAGGTTGAGCAGCCTTCTCTTTTTATACTAGGTCAAACAACCGAACTGGAAGGCACGGGTGGCACGGTCTGCCAGCCCCACAACCTCAACTGTGCACAAGGCATTGCCACCTCTTCCGCTCTGGGGAAGTACTCCCAGCCCCGAGAAATACTAGAGGCTTATCGCACAGTGACTTCAGCCACAAAGGCAATCCCAATCCAGTTTGGATGCTGATATAAATTGCATCAATGTAATACTAAACTCAGAGGATCTTGGACCAGTATACTCAAGCATGGCTTTATGTGGTCAGTCTGGTTAATTCAGGACTTACTAGAATCAGTGCTCATGGAAATTCATGACTCTCAATGCCTACATTTCTGTTTTTTCCACCATGACTAACCATGCTTACAGTGTCTACAGGAAAAAAAATGGGTAAAGTGATCATGAATTACTGCCACGATCAAGTGTTGTAGAACAACGCTTAAAACA